ATTTAATATTTTTTTAATTTTGTAAATTACATATAGTGTGTATATATATATATATGTGTGTGTGTGTATATATATGTACAGTATATATTTATTGAAAAGTATAAAAGTTTACATATTTTTATAAAGTTTGTATATTTGACATAACATTTTGAAAATTGAAATTTTAAATTATTTGTTTGTTAATAATATAATCTTTTATTTATTTCCATAAAATAATAATATATTTATTGAGATTTATAGCTAACAAATATAATAATTAAAAATTTGTTTCAAACAATTATTGAAATTATGAATTAAATATTATTATTTTTTTAAATGTAGAAAAAATAAATAACTGTTATATAATTTATATTTAATATTTTAGTTATATATATATAGAAAGAGAAAGAGAAAGAGAAAGAGAGAGAGAGAGAGAGAGAGAGAGAGAGAGAGAGAGAGAGAAATAAAACAGAAATTGAATTTATTTATATACTATATATTAAATAAAAATATTTTATTTTAAGTCTAAATTAAAATTGTTAAATCAAAAAATAAAAATATTAATATTAATATCTTTAATAATTGTAAATTTTCTTAATAAATTATATAGATTTAAATGTTTATTATTTGCATTTAATTTTAATTTATTTAATTGGAATAAAATAATTTTATTAATTACTTTAATTTACATGAAATATTTATTTTTTTTATCAATAAAACTTTAGTCTAATATTATTGAAAAATGTCCTAATAATTTATTAGGAAATAATTTTTATTTTATTTTTTGTTTGTTTTTTACTAATTATTTTTTACTAGTTTATTTTTTTGTTATTAATCAATATTTTGCGAGCGATATTTTTTTTTTAATAATAAATACTGTAATAGTTGTTAATTAAAAACAATTATGAAATAATTTATTTAGTAATTATTTATTAGATATCTATTTATTATTATTATTAATTACTAAAATATTTTTATTAAATAAAGTTATCAGCAAACAAATCAATTCTAATGAACAAATTTTCAATGATTGTGGAAATATTAGAACAATTAAATTTCAAGTAATTTATAGTAATTGAATATTTTTTTTTTATTTATTAAAATTTTCAATTAAAAAAAATGATTAGGGTAAACTTTATACCCGGTTATAATTGAGGAGGTCAACTGGTCAATGGCACCTGGACTGCAATGATGGGTCAATTAGCAAATAATGTAGAAAAAAATTATTTATTTTAAACTAAAATTTTATTAAATTGTTAAAATGTTTATTAATATATATATATATACTGTAAATATATATATAATTTTTTGTTTATTTATTTTAAAAAGACTATCGATATTATTTTGGCACCAATTATCTACAATAGCGATCGATTGAAAATTTGCAATTTCATTTATCCAATTAGCATTTCAAATGATTTATCCATACTATCTGGACATCAAACCGGCTTAACCAAACATTATCGAGTATTACCAATGGTACAACAAACAACATGGCTCATGCTGATGACCTTATTTTTTGTTTTTAATCTTATAAATTGGCTAAATGCATGGATTAATGGTAAAAAATTTAATTTGAAAAATTTTGTTATTAATTCATCGCTTGATCATCTATTAATGCTAATTGGCAAATGTAAGTAAATTGTAAATTATTTTTATATTAAATATTTTTATATAAAATAATAAAAATCATAATTAGTTTATTAAATTTAGAAAATTTTTCTAAATTTTTCTTTTAATTTATTTTATCTCCATTTTAGCTATAATTAGCAATCATTTAATCAATGGTTTTATTGGAAAATTTTTATTTTCATTATGGTTATTAATTTGCTTCATTTGGCTACAATTATTTAATAGTCAATTACTTCAGGAATATACTAAACAACCAATATCATATATAGATACATTTGACGATATAATCAACAACAACAACAACAACAACAACAATCATAATAATTTAATATTAGTCGACAAATCCAGTTATCTTTATAATAACTATCTATCGGTTTGTATGCTTTTTTTCTTAATAATAATAAAACGTTAAAATATACATATAAATAAACATATAAATTTTTATATATATTTATTTTTTATAGAAAAATTATCCAACTTTAAAGTATCAAAATCTATACAAATTTACTAATAGTAGACAATTTTTAAAACAAATAATTAATGATCAATCGGTACTTATAACATCTGATGACAATATAGATCGACTAATCAATCATAACAAAGATTTATCGCTTCATAAGTCATCGCAAAGTCAATGGTTACAAATGGCCGGCCTATGTATTAGGAAATCTTTAAACAATAGTTGGACATCAATGATAAAACTAAAGTAATTATTACTATTATTTTAATTATTATAAAATTTAATTCAAAAAAATTATTAAAATAAATTTCCATTAAATTATTTTTTTTATATTTATTTAGATTTCAAACGCTTTGGGAATCTGGATTGATTTCATATCGACAAAAATTGGAAAATCTACAAATATCTACTCAAATAAAAAATAATATAAATATAGATAATCATAATTCAATACATAATAGTAATGATAATCAATATGATATTGAATATCATAGTATTCATTTAGATGATTTAAAATTATTATTTCAATTATTAATTAGTGGATTAGTATTATCCGTTATTATATTAATTTTTGAAATACTTTATTATTTATATAAGTGTAAACTTAATATTAATACAGTATGATTTTTTTTATATTATACTATAATTAATATAAAATATATAAATATACTAACATTTTGATTCACAAACATTGACGAGAATTTTTATTAGAAACATATATAGTAACCAAAATTGTTTATATATATATTAATTAATTTTTTTTAAAAAACAAAAAGTTGGCGACACTGTATTGTAATGAGTATTAATAAAGCTATTGAGTACACATTATGTCTTTTAGTTATTTCTAGGCACATTATTTCAATACTGTGTAGCCAACAAATTATTAAAATTAATTATTTAAATTAATATAATGAAAACAAATTTTGTTTACATATATAATGTAAAGAGTGTTAGATATTTTAAGTGATACACAAAACAATGGGACACAAAATTATAACAATAAAAAAAAACGTTAATTAATTATGTGTTAAACATATATGTAATCTATATATAAAATTATTTATAAAATAACTCAAAAAATATAACACTCTTTATATATATATATGTTATAAATATTCTCAAATGTTTTCTCATCAAAAATATTGATATATTAAAAAAATATATTGTCTGTAAAATATATTTAAATTACTATTACTAACTAACATTAAATTTTATATAATATATTAATCTAATTATATAAATTGATTGTTTTCCTGATCTTACTTTTTTTTAGTAAAAATTAAAAAATTAATTAATTAAAAAAATCTAAATATTTATTTTAAAATATGTATGTAAATTATTGTAATAAAAAAAATATTAAAAATAGTAGCAATCAATTATAACATTTAATTTTCAAATTATTTATTTAAAAAATGTATTTAATTTAATTTTTTTATATTTTTTATGTTTTTATTTATTTAAACATTTTTAATTTAGAAATACAAATATTTTTGTAAATAACGATATTAATTATATAATAAAACATATATTAGTTATTAAACAAATATATTTTTTTAAAATTTAATTATCATTTTAATTGTGATTCTGGAAAATCTCTAAAATCTTGAGGTTTAGATTTTGTTGTGCTTGATACTATATAAATATAATAATAATAATAATAATTAATAATAATAATAATAATAATAATGAATAAAATTATTATAATTTCATATATACCTATATAATTAACTATAATATAATTAATGTTAAAAAAAACTTACGAAAAACCAATACAAACAAAACGACTGATCCAAATAATACTAGAAAGCGATTCATCATTTTTTGTTTGTTTGAATTTTAAATTAATTTGATTTTATAGTTTCTATTTTATTTTATTTTTACAATTTTATTCGTATTCACTAAAAGATATAACACACATATATATATATATATATATGATTTGATAATAAAAAAAATATTTATAAAATTAATTAATTACTAGTTATATACGTCAATAATTTGTTATTTAAAACGCTATTAAACATATTGTAAATAAAAAATTAACTAAAATTAAATTCAACATGTATGTGTATGTGTATGTGTATGTGTATGTGTATGTGTATGTGTATGTGTATGTGTATGTGTATGTGTATGTGTATGTGTATGTGTATGTGTATGTGTATGTGTATGTGTATGTGTATGTGTATGTGTATGTGTATGTGTATGTGTATGTGAATGTGTATGTGTATGTGTATGTGTATGTGTATGTGTATGTGTATGTGTATGTGAATGTGTATGTGTATGTGTATGTGTATGTGTATGTGTATGTGTATGTGTATGTGTATGTGTATGTGTATGTGTATGTGTATGTGTATGTGTATGTGTATGTGTATGTGTATGTGTATGTGTATGTGAATGTGTATGTGTATGTGTATGTGTATGTGTATGTGTATGTGTATGTGTATGTGTATGTGTATGTGTATGTGTATGTGTATGTGTATGTGTATGTGTATGTGTATGTGCAACCCTTATAATATAATATAATACCTATGACGTAAATGAATTTATTTTCGTTTATATTAATTAATTTTTCAAATACAATTTTTTTTTAAATTTTATTTTATATCAATTCACTTATTAATGAGTTGTCTATATAGATATATATTAATGAGATATATATTTATATATATAGATATATATATATATATAGTGATTATAAATGTTGACCTTTTTTTAAAAAAAACATTTATAATTTAAATAATAAATAAAAATAACAATAAGCAACTAAAAACAACATTATAAATTAAAATGAGAATAATAATAATAATAATAATAATAACAATAGTATTCAAACATATTATATACAGTACGGTACACTACTATTATATGTACACCATATAACAAAAAGTTAAAAATATTTTATTAATTGATTGATTTATTTTTATGGGGAAGGGGTGGGATTAGGACAGTCCTAATAAGTAAAAGTTTTTTTTTAGTTTAGTTTAGGCTGTCTCCAAATTAACTATACATTTATTATTAGTAGTAATAGTACCCAGGTTAGGTACTATGGACATCAATGGCTGATTGACACCACCATCATCTACTATCCTATCCGATGATGACGATGACTGGCCATTATTTTTAACATCCAGTCCCCCACCGCCTACACCACCACCGCCACCACCAATAGCTAGTGTATCCATAGTGCGTAACTTATAGCCGCGTTGTTGGCGTCGACTGTCCGACCTATCGGATCCAATATCGTCGTCGCCGTCATCATCGTCATCATCGTCGTAGACATACCGTTCCCCGCTGATGGTCAACATGTAGGTCCAGGCGCCCAGTATGCCGCCAATGTGCGGACCTATAACACCGGCAGTCAGCCAATAGAGACATTGAACGGGTCTATCAAAAAAATTAATAATAATTATTAATTAATTAATTAAATGTATGTTTTTAATTAAAAGTTAGTTTTTTTTAATGTTTATATATAAAGTATTAATTTTTTTTTATATAAAAATGCAATTATAAAGAAAAAAAAACATAAAAATCAATAATAAAATAAATTAAATACTAATAACAAGTAACCAAATTAAACATTATTTATATATATATATATAACATAATTAATATATATTATATAAAACTAAATATTAAATTATTATTATTTTGTTTATTATATATTTAAATATTTGTAAACATTTATTTAAATATAAAATAATTTTTAAAAAAAAAACTAATTGTAAATTATTAACTAATTTTTTATATAACTAATAGTTTATATTTTAAAAAAACAAATTTTGTTTATTGTGTTTTTTTTTAATTAATTTAATTAATTAATTAAAATTATTAATGTTTTGATAGATCAACACAGTTAGCTAGCTAGCTAGCTAGCTAACTACTACTACTACTACTACTCCTACTACTACTACTACTACTACTACTACTACTACTACTACTAATAATAATAATAATAATAATAATAATAATAATAATAATAATAATAATAATAATAATAATAATAATAATAATAATAATAATAATAATAATAATAATAATAATAATAATATAATATAATAGCAGCAAATTAAAATACATACTTAAATGCTTGATAGCCATAGCCGGCTAATAGCTGGAAAAAACGGGGACCCAGATCCCTGGCCGGATTCAATACGGCACCACAATTCAAGCCGAAAGCTATACATATACCCGTAATCAATAGGGCCAACACCGGTGGCTCCAATGGTTTCGGTGTATTTAAACCGCCCGGATCTGTTATGGCCATTACGGCAAATAGGAGCATCGATGTGGCCACAATCTGGTCGACTAGCGAACCGGTTAACGATACGTGTGCGGCCGGATAGGTTGAAAATATACCGCCAGTAGCCATAGAAACAGCACCGGTAGTATTTGTCCGATAGGGTATCCGATGGCCGGAATCGTAGGCATCGATAGCCTCATAGTAGGCTAGAAATATGCTGAATGCACCCGCAAATGCACCCAGGTACTGGGCTAGCAAGTATAGGGGTATTTTGCGCACTGGGAACTTGTTGCACGAGGCCAGGGCTACGGTAACGGCAGGGTTTAGATGGGCACCTGTATGTTAGATATATATATATATATATAAAAAATAATAATAATAGGATATATAACTGTTAATACATTGTATGGTATATACTGTATATAAGTATTTATATATACACTATATATATATATATATATAAATATTAATTTAATATATTTATTAACAAAAAAAAATACAAACAAAAATATTTTTTAAAAGCAAAAATTAAAATAAAACATTTTTAATTTAAATTTTAATTAAAAAAAAATTAAAAACACATACAAAAAACACATACAAAAAACACATACAAAAAACACATACAAAAAAAACACATACAAAAAACACATACAAAAAACACATACAAAAAAACACATACAAAAAACACATACAAAAACACATACAACATATATATATATATACAATACTAATATATATGTTATTAAAAAAATAATATATATTTTTAAGTTTTTAATTTTTTTGACAATTTTTTAGTTAACTACTAAATTGTTTAGTATATATATATATTTATATACTGTATATATGTTATAATTACCGGATATTTTTGATGCAATGGCAACGCCAACCATAACCCCGACACCAAATGCTAGACAAACGGCAAAATGGTCGACACCTAGTTTATTATCTTTATTTAGTAGATAGTTGGCTATAGCACCGTCACCAAATGCCTATTATTATTAATTTAATTAAATTTTTTTTTTAAAAAAATGTTAAATAAAATTATTAGAAAATATTTTTATATAAATTATAAATATATATATATAAAATACATACTAAATATAATTTTTACTATTAGTTTAATTAAATTAATAATAATTAATTTGGATTGTATTAAAAATTTATTAAAAAAAATAATTGATTTATATTATAATCTAATTATTAGTATTAAACATTAAGTTATATATTATTAATATATATATATATTTATTTACTGTATATAACAAATAAAATATTTAACAATTTAGTTGATTTATTTATTATCAAACAGTTTATTGACACTATTAATTAAAAGTATATTAAAACAGTAATAATAATAATTAATATAAAATATAATAAATGATATATTAATAAAATTGATAATAAAAACACAATAATAACAACAATAAAAAAAAATTTGTTTTTATTACATTTCAATTTATTTAATTGACTATTATTTTAGTAGATTAATAAGTAACTTAATTAATTAATTAAAATGCTAGCAAAAAGTAAATAAATGTTTTCTTTCTCCTAAATTATAAAAATTAATTAAAAAATTATTTTTCCAACTAATAATAGTTTAGTAAATATAAAATTTAAAAAATAATAATATAATCATTAATTTATTATTTACAGTTTTTTTTATTGTAAAAATATTTTTTGATAATAAAAAATTTAATACTAATGTTATTGAAAAAAATAACTGTAATATTGATATAATATAATAGATAAACTAATAGTTATATACAGTATATAAATATTAGCTATATATATATATATATATATATATATATATATATATATATATATATAACTATATTTTATAGTATTAAATAATTAATTAATTATAAAAAAAATTTAATAAATAAATTTAATATTTAATACTAACTAATATATATATATATAAGTTTAATCAGTTATTTAATTAGCTGTATATATATATATATAGCTAATTAAAATTATATATATATATTATAATATTTAATATAATAATATTGATTATATTTTTAAAAATACTTACAATAATAAAATATGTACCAAAAAATTCGGCAAAAAACTCGCGCAACCATTTTGGTCGACGTCCACAAAATAGACCGCAATTTTTATTTGAATTATTATTATTATTATTATTATCCATTTATTTATCTGAAAAAAAATTATAATTAATTATACTAATTTTTTTGTGGGTATTATATTGATAAAATTACAAAACAATATTGATATTAAATTACATGTATATATATAATTACAAATACAATTGTAAAATATATATATATATATATATATAATATATCAATGGACTATTAAATAATAATAATAATATTAATATTATTTTTTTGAAAAATAAGAAACTTATTTATTACTAAACTTATTAAATACTATTTTAAATTAAAAAAATAAAAGTTATTAAGTAATTATATATATATATATAACTTATTTTAAACTATATATATACCGGTATAAAATATTTTTAAAAAAATTTTAAGTTAAATAAAATTTATTGTCATCAAAATTGATAGCTGCAAAATATAATAATGATGACAAATATACAATATATTGTATTTAATATTATTTTATATTCGGGTAATACAAGTGTGTATCACTATATTATATACTGTATATATATATATTGTGGGTATAATTTTTAATGTCAATCGTCTACTGCAATAATAGACGGCAATTGCGTAAACTTATTGAAACATTATTACTCTCTCTCTCTCTCTCTCTCTCTCTCTCTCTCTCTCTCTCTCTCTCTCTCTCTCTCTCTCTTATATTATATTACTAATTATATATATATTATATAATATAATATATATAATATACAGAATTTAATAGATATACGATGAAAAATAGATAGATAGAGATTATATATATATATATATATATATATAGAGAGAGAGAGAGAGAGAGAGAGAGATTAAAAGTGAGAAACTATTTTTAGATTCAAAAAAATAAAATATTATAAACTCAATAATAAACTAATTTTATTCAATAAATTATACATACGATTCTGTAAACAAATTAAATATTTCAAAAATTAATTGCATTTAATTAGTTATTTACAGTATTAGTATTATTAGAGTATAAACTTAATTAATATATTCAGTATATATATATATATGTAAATTATATAAAATATAACGATACTATTAATACTATAATACATAAAAATAATTGAGTTTTAAACTGTTAGACTTGGTTAGTGATTAACAAATTGATTATTAGACAAATTTATTGCTAAATAGTAGTAGTTTTTATAACTATAGAGATTTACATTATGTTTGTTACTATGTTTTTGTATGTGTGTGTGTGTGTGTGTTTATGTTATGTATGTGTGTATGTTATATGTGTGTGTTATGTGTGTGTATGTTATGTGTGTGTATGTTATGTGTGTGTATGTTATGTGTGTATATGTGTATGTATGTATATGTGATATGTGTGTGTATGTATGTGTGTGTGTATATTAGGTGTATGTATGTGTGTGTATATTATGTGTATGTATGTTATGTGTGTATGTTATGTGTGTAATAGACATATAACAACTGTGGGTTTGTATGTAATTGTCTGCAATATATTGCATCAGAATATTCTGTATATTCAGAGAGAGAGAGAGAGAGAGAGAGAGAGAGAGAGAGAGAGAGAGAGAGAGAGAGAGAGTACTTGAAAGTGCAACTAAAATAAAGTCATAGTAATAGCATATTATTTATGTGGTTTATAATTAAATATATTTGCAATTTGTTTATATTATACTCAAAAATAATGTATATATATATTGTATAAATATATTGTATTTATTATTAGATTTATTTTTAATATAATATTCATTATAATTGTTGATATTAAATGCAAATTATATAAATATATATATATATGTATACAAAATATGTATAATTAACAGAATTTTGTGTTCAATATCTAATCATTTTATATATATATATATATATATATATATATATATATATATATATATATATATATATATATAAATAATGTAAATATAATTTAATAGTAAATAAATAAATAAATAAATAATTTACTTACAAAAATAAATAATGATTGTCTAAAATATATTATAAATTTGTACTATCAATGATAAATATATTATTATTATTAAACAATATTTGTTTCAATCATGTATTATAACAACATTTTTTAATAATGTTTGTAAAACTTGATTAATTTAATTATAAAAATAATATATATATATATATATTATAATATATATATATATATAAATATATTAGTAATTTTTATTTTAATAATTCAACTATAATACACATACTAAATATAGCAATATTTTTTGTTACAAATAATTTAGTATAACTATTAAAATTCAATTATGTCTAAAAAAATTTGCGTAAATTTTATTTTTTCTGTGTTATTGTTTTTCAGTGAAATTAATAATAATAAAATGTCTATTTATTATCCAAAAAAATAATATGTTTATATTAAGTCAGATATATATATATATATATATATTGAATATATTGTTTGTTTTCATTTTGTCGTTGAATTGTTAGCAATAAGAGAGCGCCTGTTTAGCGCATATTCTGTATAAAATATTCTGTAAATAAATATATATATATATATAGATATATATATATATATATATATATATATAATGTATATGTAGTAAATAAATAAATATATATATGATATGTATGTATATATATCATGTATATATAGTATGTTTATATAGTATGTATATATAGTATGTATATATAGTATGTATATATACAGTATATATATTATTGTTATTATATAGAGTCTAAATTATAGATTATATATTATATATATGATATGAATCATAAAATAATTTATTGATTAATAAGTAATAGAGTGATAATAATAATAATAATAATTATTATTATTTTTTATTATTTAAACAAATTAAACAAACAAAATATCTATACTTGTTTTTAATTTTAATAAATGTTTCATGTATTTATTATACATACAAAAAATACATATTGAATTCAATATTCAATTGTGAAAATAATTTAAAATATTTAAAATATTGATTTTATATTTAAAAAAAAATATTTTACAAATTGTAATCATATTTAACAATAAATTACTTTAGCATTAGTTTATTAATTATTATTAATTATTATTGATATTAAACAAATATATTTCTAAAATAATAAATAATAATAATTAATGTTTAATTAGTCTAAAAAAACAATTTTAAATATAAGATTAGATAATTTAAATAATTATTAAATTAATTTTTTCTAAAAACTGTTTATAAGTTTATGAGCTTGATAGTTTTAATTATCGGTATTTTTTTAATTTATAATTTATAACATTTTGTTTGTATTTTTTTAATGCCACACAAACTGTAAATATTAAATTTAACAATTTTTTTTAAATAAGTTTATATTATTATTAAATTATCTATAATTTTAGATAAAAGTATAATATATACGAATTTTTAGAAAAAATCTTAAATTATTTTTTTTAATAATTTAAAAACTAAATAATAATATAATATACTATTTATAACAAAATAAATTGTTTTAAATTATTTGCTAATTAGATAAAAAATAATAATTATTACTTACTTGAATTAAATAATTTTTTGTTGTTGTTAATTGTTGTAAATAAAAAAATATTTTTTATATTATATTTGACATAAAAATAATTATATATATTTTAATGTATCGCATAAAATATAAATGATAATTAATTAACTAATAAGTTACTCAAATTACTTAATAAATAAATAAATAAATTGATAAACATTGATATAGTTTTAAGCAAAAAACAAAAAACAAAAAACAAAATATAAATAATTTATTGAAAACTCAGCCAAAATTTGACAAATATATAAACAATATTTTTTTTGAATGTATAATATTATTAAATTTTATTTTCAGATAATTAAATAATCATTAATTAAGTTTTATTAAATATTTTAAATAAATACAATTGAATTTTAAAAATTATTTTTTTAATATTTGCAATTTATAACAATAAATAACTAATTATAAATTGCAATAACAATTAATATTTCTATATATATATATATAAATCAATCTATAATAAAATAAATTATATGTTTAGCTTGTAATTAATACATTAGATTATTTAACAATATTTAAAATTTAAACAATTTAGTAAATAACTTATACAATTAAAAAATCACTTATAATATATTATTTATTTAAAACAAATAGTTTAACAACAATAATATTGATTAGATTTTATTTCCCATAAGATTTTTTGATTATAATAATTATAATAATAATAATAGATATTAATATTGATTTTATAAATAATAAATTTGAAATCATTTATAAACTTTAATCTTTATTTACAGTTACTATATATATATATCGTATAATTTTCTAACTAATTATTATCATATAATCATATGTTAAATATTAATATATATATTTTTTTGATATCATATCTATCATTAAATATTATGAGTAATATATAATTAATATTTATATAATAATAATAATAATACTATAGACTCAGTGATATTATTATTATTATTTATTAATATTAAGTATTAGTAAACTTATTATTATTATTATTAATCATATCAACTATAATGACAACAACAAAATATTTATATATCAATATATATATTGAATTAATTTATTAATTAAATTTTTTTTATAGACATTACTACAGTATATTAATAATAATAATAATAATAAAGAGGAGAAAATAATAATTAATTGTTAATTACTATCAAAGAAAAAAAATTATTTATTTTTTTCAATATATATATATAAAATATTCATCAATTTTAATTGGAAAATCAAATCTAATAAAACTAATTAAAAATTGATAAATAATTTTTAAATTTTTAGTTGTTTGTTGTTAAATATAATTACTAATTCATTAATTATAAGCAAGGTCATCATAATTAATATTTAATCTATAGTATAAAATAAATAAATAATAAAATTTAAATTTATATATATATATATATATATATATATATATTATGTAATTTCCTATTGCAGTAATACTGTATACTATATTTAATCTAAATATCAATAATTATTTTTTTTTTAGTTTTTTTTTAAAAATTATCATAATTTTTAAATGCATTTTATTTTTGGCAATTAATGCACACAATAAAATCAATATAATTTTTTTTTAAATTATATTTTATCAATTAATTAGTTAATAAATAATATCATTGCTTATCATACACGTTAATTGACACTGTTATAATAATAATAATAATTATTATTATATTTTATGCAAATATTAAATATTTAGTAATAATAATAATAATAATGATATAAAATAATTGAATTATAAATTACTACATGAAATAAAGTAATTTTTTTAAATTTATATTTTTTTAATTTTTACTTTAATTGTATTTATAAGTTTTTAAATTTTTCTATAAATAATTAATTTTTTAAACATAGCAATTTTGCCAATAAAAAATATTTAAAAAAATATAAGTTATTAATAAATAAATTTTAAACAAAAAAAAACAATTAACTAATTGTTAAACATTTTCACACTCACACACACACACACACACACACACACACACACACACCACAACAATTAATTTTTATTTTTAATAAATATTTATATATATATATATTAAATACTAATCAATATTATTATATTATAATAATTACTACAATATACTAGTATATTATAAATTACAAATCTATAAAAAAAATTTACAAATAATTAAATAAATATTAGAACTTGTTAACTATTTATATATTTATATATAATAAATATTTAATTATTACTTAAATATATTATTATTATTATTATTATTATTACTTAATTTATAATATTTTATAATAACTTATTATAATACTTTAATTATTATTATTAGTAGTAAACCACCTAGATCATTGTTAGGTGGCAAAAAAATTAGGTACCATATCATACTAACTACTAAGACTACTATTACTAGTATATATATATACTATTATTATGGCGGGGTGGGGTAGGGAGTTCCTAGGTAGACATCACATAACTACCCTATCCTATACTACACCCTATACTACTATTGTGTAGACATCATCACACCCTACCCTATACTACCCACCTAGACTGCCAACCTCAAAAAAAAAATACCACCCTACTCTACCACCCTATACTACTAGGTTTAGACATCACACCCTATACTACCCAACTAGACTGCCCACCTAAAAAATAAACTACCCATAAACTACCCTACCCTACCCATACACCCCCCCCCCCCCGTAGACTACCTAGGCCCGTTGACAAATTAGGCCCTTCCTTGAACCGCAATGATCGAAAACCCATTTACCCGGGTTCTCAATCCTACCCTTTTTCGTAGCATCCAGGGCTACACACCGTTGCCCGGGTGACTGTTTCCTGTATTGTACAAAATTTGTCCATTTAACATCCTGGCCGTCCACCCATCTAGTGTTTTTAGAAAAAATCAGAGAGATCAATTTATAAAATAAATTTCTAACATATATATTAAAAAACAACAATTTTTCTATCTATCTATCTATCTATGGGATCCCTACCCCCACCCCACCCCCTATGGTTTAAGTTTATTTTGTTTTTTGATGTAATAAATTGTTTTTTATTTTTGTAAACATAGAAAAACTAAAATATTATTAATAATATTTTGAATTATTAATTTAAAAAAAAGTTAATTAATTGTTATTATATTTTTAAAAACTATAATATCGACTATTGATTCAAATTTTACTACAACAACAAAAAATAACTGATTATTGCTAAATATTATTATTATTATTATTATTATTAATATTATTATTATTATTATAATTATTATTATTATTATAATTATTATTATTATTATTATAATAATTATTATAATTATAATTATTATTATTATTATTATTATTATTATTATTATTATTATTATTATTATTATTATTATTATTATAATTATTATTATTATTATTAATATATATATATATAGAAATTTATTCAAGTTAGAAATTTTCTAGTAGAAACTATTTTTTTCAATCAGGGAAATTTTCTAGAAACACTATCCATTTTGCCCATATCTCTATCTACACACACCCACCCACCCAACCTACCTGAGCCCATGTATTTCATCATCCCGGGCCCCAATCCAAAACTGATCATGGGAGTGTTTGGATGCCAACACCAAACTGTAGACCAGGCGCTGTTCCTCAGTACTATTAATGGATACCAGGGACAGTTGACTATAGGAATGTCCAAAATGATAGCTAAACAATATTTGACAGATTTCTTTAGCTTCATCATAGCTGGCATCGACACCTGTTAGMACCCGATAGCCTTTCATACCCCGGACCAGCCAACCCTCCCTGGGATTGAATGCCGATTCATCGCAATCTAAAAATTTAGTTATTAATTTTTTATTTATTATTAATTTTTTTTTTTTTGGTTAGTTTTATTATAATTTAGTATTAATTTTTGTTTTTATTCAAATAAAAAATAAATAATAGTTTTTTTTCTAATAATAATAGTATTTTTTATTTATTTTAATTAATTAATTAATTTATTATTATTATTATTGTTATATTTTTTTGTATTCAAATAAAATAACTGATAGTTTTTTTTATATAATAATAATAATAGATTTTTTTTTATTTATTTAATTAATTAAATTAATTAATTATTTTTTGATTTGATAGATTAATAATATAATTATTTATATATATTTAAAAATAATTTTTCATCAAGCTAATCATTTATTAAAAAATAGCAATTAATTATTTTAATTAAATATTTTTTTGATTTTATGTTTACAAATATTTTTTTTTAAAAATATATATTTATTTATTTTCCATATAAAAGTTATTATCATATATTTTATTCACCGTATATTATATTGTAAGTGAATATTATATAATATAGATATTGAAGTTATTATAAGTTTATTTATGTTTTAGTAAATACTAAATAATAATTTTTTTTTAAAAAAAATAATAAATAATATTTAATTTTTATACTATTAATATATTTTCATTTGTTTAAAATTAATGTTAATTATAATTTTTAATAGAAATATTTAATTTTTTTAAAAAAGTTTACATATAAAATAATTAATAAATTTAAATATTGGAAAAATAATGAATTATAAAATTTTCCATTTAATTAATTAAAAAATATTTTAAATATTTGAATACTTTAATTATACTATATATATAATATATACTATCAATATAAATGTTTTTTAAATTTTTATATCTAATAAAAATCAAAATTTAATAATCATTACAATCTTGAAATACCTTGAAATATTGAATAATTTATTTTATAAAAATAATTAAATCATAAAATATGTAAATTTGTTTGTTTTTTTTTGTTGAAAAATTAAAATGTTAAAATAATCACTTACTTGTATATGCAATATAACAATACAATAAAATATAGAAATAAAAATTATTTATATAATGTTTGATAATTATTATGTTTGAAATAAATTTCATAATTTTATTAATTATTATTATTATTAATAATTTAGATTTTAATATTATAACTGATTAATAACTGTAAGTTTAAAATATTTTATTATTTTTTTTTATTTTAAATTTTATTTTGCTTACAGCAAACTAACCACAACAACAACAAAAATTAAATAATTATTACACAAAATTGTTTACACAACGATATAAATTTGCAAAAAAAATAACTAAAATAAATAAAACGATTAAATTTTTATTGATTTATTAATTATTTTTATTTTAAAAATAATTATATATATATGAATATAATTTTTATTCAATAATTAATTGAATTATTAAATTTTATTCAAAACTTTTATTATTATTATTATTATTATTATTTTTGTTGATTTTTATTTTTCAAGATTGAATATTTTAATTTTTATATAATTTTTTTATATATATATATATAGTTTTATTAGATTATATAATATATATGCACTTTATTTATAAGTTAATGTTTTTTTTTGTATTAGTATAGTATAGTTTAGTTATTAACAACAACAACAAAATAATATATTTATATGAATTGATGTCAAGTGTACTGTCAATGTGTTTGTAGGTAGTATTGAATGGCAAACATTTTTAATAGACTTATACATAATCGCCGGCAGTCTACGTATGGTTGTGTAGAGTTAGCAATAATAACGTCGTATTTTATAAATATAAAAAATACACACAAAAAATAATATGCATATTTTTATTTAAGGTACAAAAAAATTATAAAAAATAATAAAATATAATAAAAAATTATAAATAATTATAAATAATTATAAAAAATATAAATTATAAAAAATTATTAAAATTTACAAACATATACATTGAAATATTATTTTCAGTAAAATTTCGTCTTTTATGTGAAAATACATCATTATAAACTGAAAATGACCTTTCACATACACATGATGTCATAGGAGCGTATTTAAAAATATTTTCATTATTATTATAAAAATACTCAAAATCTGGATTTTTCTCTAAAGATTTATTTAATTTTACTAAAACAGATGATTTTAAACATTTTCTTAAATTTTTAATAATATTAATCTGTTCATAAATAGTTGAAGAATCAGATTCTAATGAAGTAATATTATCAACAATTATGTCAAAAGTTTTCAAGTCAATAAGTTGTTGCTTAAGTATAGGATTATTGATACTATTTTTCAATTCTTTAATCACATCATTATTTGGTTTCAATTGTTTAACATAATCAATCACATTATCGTAATATTTCAAATAATAAAATGAAGAATTAAGCCAACTACCCCATCTTGTGAGTATTGGATGTTTAGGCAAAGGTATATTAGGACAAAGAGATTTAAATTCTTGTCTTCGTTTTGGTGAAAAATTTAAAAGTTTTTTCATATTTCCAACAAAATTATCTGCAATATTATTATTTAATCTTATATGTTCACATACGCGATTAAGACAATGTGCTAAACATGTTACGTGTCTTAAATCATCAAACATATTTTTAAGTTTATTTACAGCAGCAATCATATTCTTTGCTTGATCTGTAATACATAATTTGATTTTATTTTTAGGGATATTATTTCCATATAGTTTTTTTAATGCATTATTTACAGCTTCAACTATAGAATCTGCTTTCGTATTTTTTAAAAACTCTGTTGATAACAACATTGGTTTATGTAAATTTCCATCTAATATCCCAACACAAACATTAAAAACAATTCTAGTGCTTTTATCAGTTGTTTCATCAAATATAAGATAAATAAAATTATTTTTAATAGTCGATTTTAATTTTTCTAATATTAAATTATATGCTATTGGCAATTGTTTTCTTACTATTGACTCATCAGGTATATTGTACTGAGTATATTCAGTCAAAAAGCTTTTAAATTTTTCAAATTGCAATTTGTAATATGGAATATTCGCAGCAATTAATGTTATACATAATTGAAGTATAAAATCTTTTTTAGATTTTGGAAGTATTTGCGTCAAATTTTCTGTTGATTTTCTTTTATTAGCATTTAATATAATTTTATTTTTGTGTTTTGTTTGACTTATATGTCTTTCATAACAATATATTACGTGATTATAATCATTAATTTCAATGTAATCATCACATTCAATACATTTAAGTTTGCCAATATGAATGCAAAATGACTTATCTTTAAGTATAATACCATACATTTTGTTGAGTAAATTTTGGTTGAATTTTGAGGTGTCCGGTTGCTGTTGTTGTTGTTGTTGTTGTTGTTGTTGTTGTTGTTGTTGTTGTAAATCTGAATATGGTTGGTGTACATTATGATATACAGAAATACTTTGTTGTTGTCGTTGCTGTGGCTGTGGCTGTTGCTGTTGCTGTGGCTGTGGCTGTTGTCGTTGCTGTGGCTGTGGCTGTGGCTGTGGCTGTGGCTGTGGCTGTTGTCGTTGATGTGGCTGTGGCTGTTGTCGTTGATGTGGCTGTGGCTGTGGCTGTGGCTGTGGCTGTGGCTGTGGCTGTGGCTGTTGTCGTTGATGTGGCTGTGGCTGTGGTCGTTGATGTGGTTGTTGTTGTTGTTTAGATATGTTGATAAAGTTAACAAATGCATTGCCAAATGTATGATTTTTATTGCTGTTGTCACGTGATGCCATAATTGAGTTTTGAATGTTTTATTACAATTATAAAAATCACTTTTGAATATATTATTAGATGAATGAATCAATTGATGTTTAAATAAAATAATTATTAAACATTAAAAACAATATAATTAATATAACTAATCTAAATAATATAATAAAAAACTTTTTTTATATATTTATTATTATTTTGTGTCAAACATTCACTACTTTTAATATAATAAAACTGATAATAAATAATTTGTTTTAGTCTATTTATATGTTTATTTATCATATATTTAGTCATATGATATGTATATACTTTTTTTTAAATATTTTAAAAACAAAATAATCACATGATTTACATGTGATTTTTATATAGAGGTATTTTGTATTGTATGCATAAAAGTATTTAAAATTTTTTGTGTGTTATCTTTATTTTATTTTACTTATATATGTTATAATCTTTTGTGTAAATATAGACACATTTTTGCCTATCCTTACTTATACATACAGTATATACTGTCTATAGAGTATACTGTATTAGTATAACATGTATTTATTATATTTTGTATATACAGTCAAAACTATATCATAGTCTAAACCAATGTCTATCATAGACATTGACTTTTTAAGAGTCAGACTCACACACATACATACACATACATACACACACATATATACACACACATACACACACATACACACACATACACACACATATATACACATATATACACACTCATACATACATATACACACACATACATATACACACACATACATATATACACACTTACATATACGCACACATACATACATACACACACATACCACATACACACACATACCTCATACACATATACCACATACACACACATACCACATACACACACATACCACATACACACACACACATACACACACATACACACACATACACACACATACACACACATACACACACACACACACACACACACACACACACACACACATACACACACTTGCAAATTGATTAATATTTAGGTATCAGTTTGTATTGACACTAAAATAATGAGAGTTTTTTATATACAGTTTTTTATTGTTGTTTTTGTATTACATTAAGAATTTCTTAATTAAATCTCAATATATTAATAATATTAGTATAAGTATTAGTATTCTCTCTCTCTCTCTCTCTCTCTCTCTCTCTCTCTCTCTCTCTCTCTCTTCTCTCTATATATATATATATATATATATATATGTTTGTCTGGGAAACTTTTAAATTAGTAAAACTATGTACTACTATATATTGAACTAAATATATTACACAAAATATATAATACATTCACATATTAAAAAAAATTTACATAAATTATAACATTGTTTTAGATACAGTATATATATAKRTATAGGTATAGAAAAAAATTTCAATCAATAACCCTCTATGCAAACATTTTAATTAAAAAAATTTTTAGTATTGATGTTGTTTTTATGATATTATAAATGTTTTTTTTTCTTAATTATTATTAACATTATGTAATTAACTCTAAAAATATTTCAATAGGTATTTTGAAAGATATATATATATATATATATATATATATATAGAGAGAGAGAAATAATTTTATTTTTTTAATAAACTTTTATTCTATAAAACATTTTTTCTTTAAAGAATATTCTATTGTTTTATATATTTTATTAATATATATATATATATTATCAATAATGCATATATAATATACATATAATTTATATATATATTATATATTTATAACTTTATATATTGATAATTAGTGTAAAGTTTGTCTAATGTAATACAAATACAGGTATATATATATATATATATATATTTGTTGGGTGTGAACACCATTGTGTGTGAAATAATATATATATATATATATAATGCAAATAATTTTAACATTAATATTATTATTATTATTATTTCTATTGTTTTATCTTTTACTTTATTATTATTTTTTGTTGTTGAAAAAAAATCTTAACATATTTTTATTATTATTTAATAATGATTATTAAAGTGTATTTTAAATATGTACTAATAAGTTATATATAAAAAATCTTTTTTTTTTATATAAATTTTTTATTTTAAAAATAAATATAATATTTTCTCCTTTTAATTGCTATGAAAATTTTTATTATTACTAATGTTTTATAATAAAAATAAAAATATTTATAAAACTTATGATATTTTATTTATCATTTAATTTAGTTAAACATATAATTAACCGTATTATGCGTTATCTTATTTTTCTAGTCTAACAAATATATATATATATATATATAAATGTTGATAATTTATAAATAATTAAATATTATATATATATATATATAAGTATTTATTATTAATATATATATATAATAGTATTACTAATGCGGTAATAATATGAAAGATAATTTAAATAATTTATGATTTTGTTAGCATAAGTGAGTGTTAGTATATATATATATATTAATATATTATTATTATAATATAAATATAAGCGTAAAAATCTGAAATTAATTTTTTGAGATAAAATATTTTTTGATGTTGACCTATATATTAGGCGCCAATTTACAACATTTTATTACTTATATATATATATATAGATATATATTTTAATTTAAAATATTTTTTAATCATTAAATTTGTGTGTTTGTGTGTGTATTTAATTTTTATATGGTATCCATTAAATATTAAATAAATCATTTTTGTTTAAGTCTCTCATGAGATTAGTGTTTTTAAAAACTATATATATATATATATCAATTATATATATATATATATATATATATATATATATGTGAATTAAAATTATTAGATTTTAGTTTAATGAATTTTTATTGTATTTAATATATAAATCTATTAATTATACAATATATATATATATATTAATTAATTATATTGTATATTACAAAAAAAATATAAATATAAAAATTTTTTAGTAAATTTTTACTCAATAAAAAAACAATAACAAAATTCCAATAAAATAAATGTCTAATATTTTTATATATCAATATATAAATATAAATATATATATATATATATAAATTATTTATTAATTTTTATTTAGAAAATTATAATTATTATCTATCAATACATATACTTATATTTTTTATTAGCATTTATTTACAATAAATATTAAAATCAATTTTAATATTTAAATAATTAACATAAACGCAACTAATAAATATTATTTTTTATTATTTTTTTGTATATATATTTTATTTATTATGTTTTTATTTTTGTATTTATTTAAGATGATTGCATAACTACATTACACAGTAGTATTATTATTACTATTATAATAATTCAATGGTAAGATAATAATAATTAATATTATTATTATTACATAATATCCCTGTCCTACATACTAGTGCCTCACTAGTAATAATAATAATAATAATACTAATAATAATAAAAGGCTAACAACTTGTATTAATATTATTATTATTATTATTATTTAGGAAAATATTGAATATATATATATATTTTTTTAGTTAATTTATTTTGTTTACAATTTTTGTTTTATAATAATTTTATTTTCTAACTAAGCATTCAATATATTGTGAGAGAAATAAATATTTATTTCATAAAACCAATCGTAAAGAGAGAGAGAGAGAGACAACAAAAATATGTGTTAATAAAAATATTTTTATATTTTATTAATAAAATGTGAGAAAATATAATAATAATAATGAAAATAATAAATTATATTTTTGAAGCTTGAAATATTTTTTGATAAATTTTTGTTGTTGTTGTTGTTGTAAAAAATATTTTCATATATTATATATATAGATATCTATAATAGTTTAATATAATACACAAACATCTATTAATAATAATAATAATAATAATAAATTTCTCACTCACTTATGGTATTTATATTATTAATTTTATATATATATATATATATATTGTTGTTGTAGTAGTAGTGATCATACTATTAATAATAATAAAAAAAACATTAAATTAAAATAATAATAATAATGTATTAAATATTTTAAACATCATATTTATTTTTATTTTTTTTTTTTGATAGACATATAAATTAATTTTCAAAAAAAAATTTTTTTTTTAATAGACATATAAATATTAATTTTGTGATAGATATGTGAAWATATATATATATTTATTTTTTCTATGTGTGTATTATATTTTGAAACTATTTTTATAATAATAATTTTTTTCTTAAAAAATAATTTTTAATACTTTTTAATATTATTTAGTGAAAATAAATAAATAAAAATTATAGTGAAAATCTACTATTAATAATAATAATAATAATATTAATAATAATAATCAATTGACAGTATAAGTACTTTAAGGGCATTTTTTTGTTAATAAATATTAATTGTTAAAAATATTATTATTATACTGTAAGTGCATATTAATTAAATTATAGTTTAAATGATAATTTATTTTATTTTTTTTAAATAAAAAAACCCCTTAAAAATTACAGAAAAATATATGAAATATGTCCTTGTTTAGAAAATTTGAAAATAATAAAAATAAAATATAAATATATATTACCTATAAAAATAGTGATCTGTAAAAAATTTTCACACATTTAATCGTTTAATATATATATATACTGTTTGTTATATTTAATATTAAATAATATTTTCAATAATAATAATATTATAAATAATTATAATTAATAATAATATAAATAATTATAATTAATAATAATATAAATAATTATAATTAATAATAATATAAATAATTATAATTAATAATAATATAAATAATTATAATTAATAATAATATAAATAATTATAATTAATAATAATATAAATAATTATAATTAATAATAATATAAATAATTATAATTAATAATAATATAAATAATTATAATTAATAATAATATAAATAATTATAATTAATAATAATATAAATAATTATAATTAATAATAATATAAATAATTATAATTAATAATAATAAAAATAATTTATTTTCAAATAAACAAAAAAAATAGATATTATTATAATTAATATAAACTTTTACTGTAAATAAAAAATCGTTTTTTTTGTGTTGAAATTTTTGTTGTCTATATATTTGTAAATATATTTAACTAAATATTATTATATTTTGTGGGTGAGTGGGTGTCATCAGCATCATTATCATCATCATCATGAGTGCCATACATGTGCAAAATGTGACTTTCCGKTACAATAAAAAACATCAAGTACTKGATAATTTGCAATTAAGTGTCGACACCGGCCAGATATATGCACTGTTAGGACCGAGTGGGGGCGGCAAAACTACCCTGTTGCGATTGATATTGGGCCGTATAAACTTGCAACATGGTCAGATCCGGATACATGGCCACCAGTCGCCCGGTGCCCGAGCTAACAGTCGTATCAGTTATATGCCACAAAATCAGGCCCTATGCCTGCAGTTCAATGTTGGACAGACTATGCGCTACTTTCAGCATATTTATCGACAATCGCGGACGGAGTTTGAGGACAGGTATGTGTGAGTGTATGTGTGTGTTAGTGTGTGTTAGTGAGTGTGTGTGTGTGTGTAAATGTATGTAAAATATATGTATGTGTGTGTGTGTGTGTGTATGTGTGTGTGCATATGTGTGTGTGTGTGTGTGTGTGTGTATGTATTTGTATGTGGGTATGTACTGTATGTGTGTGTGTGTGTATATCTCTATATATGTGTGTATGTATGTATCTCTATGTGTGTGTATGTTTTAATGTATGTGTGTGTATGTATTTAATGTATGTGTGTTTATGTATTTAATATATGTGTGTGTACTGTATGTATTTAATATATGTGTGTGTACTGTATGTATCTAATATATGTGTGTGTACTGTATGTATTTAATGTATGTGTGTGTATGTATTTAATGTATGTGTACTGTATGTATTTAATGTATGTGTACTGTATGTATTTAATATATGTGTGTGTACGTATTTAATATATGTGTGTGTATGTATTTAATATATGTGTGTGTACTGTATGTATTTAATGTATGTGTGTGTATGTATTTAATGTATGTGTACTGTATGTATTTAATGTATGTGTACTGTATGTATTTAATCTATGTGTGTGTGTGTCCGACTAATTAGTTTTTATTTTATTTTTTGTTCATACAATTATTATTATTATTATTATTTATTAATATAAAACTGATTAAAAGTTTTATTTATAATCAGATTACAAATAATATTAAGTTTAAATAATAATAATAATAGTGTTAAAAATAATATTTTTCAAAAAAATATATAATAAACTATCTTAGATTTAAATGTAATTGTATTAATATTATTATTATTTATAAATTATAAAATAGTATACATATAATAAGTAGATACTAATAAATATATATATATTAATTGTTAATAAAATTATTAATATATAACTAAATGTAATGTAAATGTAAAAAACAGTAAAAACAAAACGACGCAAAAAAACTATATATGAATTGTTTATAAAATTATTATTTAAAAAACAAAATACAATAAAAACAAAACAATGCAAAAAACTATATACAGTATATATTATTTGTTTATTAAATTATTAATAGTTAACTAAATTATTAATTAAAATAAAATAAAACAAAACAATTTAAAAAACTATATACAGTATATATTATTTGTTTATTAAATTATTAATAGTTAACTAAATTATTAATTAAAATAAAATAAAACAAAACAAAAACTTAAAAAACTATATATATATATTAATTGTTTATAAAAATTAATAATATTTAACTAAATTATTAATTAAAAAAAACAAAATACAATAAAAACAAAACAATGCAAAAAACTATATACAGTATATATTAATTGCTTATAAAAATTAATAATATTTAACTAAATTATTAATAAAAAAAAATAAAATATAATAAAAACAAAAACAATGCACACAAAAAAAACTTTAACATTTATTAATTTTTTAAAAATTTATTAATTACAACACATTTATTAATTTTTTTTAATTTTTTTGTTTAAATAGATATAAAACCCTAAAATCAATGCTTGAATTGCCGGACGATGACCGGTGTCTGGTCGGCGACCTAAGCGGTGGCCAACAGCGGCGCCTAAGTCTAGCGGCAGCCCTACTAAACAATGCCCGGCTTCTCATACTGGACGAGCCTACTGTCGGTATCGACCTATTACTTATACATAATATTTGGCACTATTTGAACCGACGGTGCCTACAGGGAGGATCTACTATTATGTTTGTTACACACTATATCCAGGAGGCTAACAATGCCCATACGGTTGGCCTGATGAGGAACGGTAGATTGTTGGCCGAACGAAATCCCCAACAATTAGTTACCCAGTATTCGTGTAGTTCATTGGAAATGGTTTTCCTAAAATTGTGCTTGCTAGATAATAATAATAATCATAATAAGCAACATAAWAAAAATTATCAWGGTCATAATAMTGATAATATTATTATAAGTAAAAATCAAAACAATAATTATAATGCTAATAATAATAATAATTTTAGCATGCTAAATAATAATGATAATAATAATTTTAGCATGCTAAATAATAATAATGATAATAATAATAATAATAATAGTAAAATAAATGCTAATATTAATAATAGTAATAATAATAATATTAATTTAAATATTGATAATGATAATTTAATTAATAATAATAATATTTATAATAATAATAATAAAACTAATAATTTAAATACAAATTCAATAAAATCCAAATTATTAGAAGATCAGAAAACAATCATTGAAATGATCATGTTCAATTTATGGATAATATTAGTATTAATCAAGAGGAACGGGCTAAAATATTTAAATATGAATAGCGCACTGATATGTATGCTATTACCGGCAACACAGGTAGTCATCTATTGTCTAGTTTATAGTAAACCGATGATTGAAATGAAAATTGCTGTATTCAATGAAGAGGACATACATGTTAATAGTAATAATAACAACAGTGACTATTTAACTACCGGTGCCGTAGCCGCTGACCAAACAACCTATAGTCACAATATACTCGAATCACTGAAACCAATGGAACGACACCTACTGAGACCAGTCGGCTATCCGACACTTGCGAGTGCTATACAAGCGGTAGTCGATGGCCAGGCAGTCGGTGCCGTATGGTTTCATCAGAACTATTCGGATTCAATGGACTCGCGACTGGATAATCCGTACGATGCCGATCAGGATATACTAACATCCAGTTCCCTACATGTCTATGTAGATAATTCCCAGATAATATTTGGCAATATATTTATGCATTCATTGAGTGATGCCGTTTGGTCAGTAGTATCTAACTTAACGACTAACCAACCGGCCAATCGGCAATCATCATCAGCAGCACCCGGTGCTAGTGGTGGTCGTGCTAGTGGTGCACCACTAATGATGGACATACCTATCCGTGTTGAGAAAACACCCAAATCGGCTAATCTGATATTCAAAGATACTGGCCTAGCGGCTAATCTGATGTTTTTTATCTACCTAAGCCAGATAGTACTGTCCTCACTGGGTCTGACACAGGAACGTAAAGACGGTCTATTTGAACGATCATTGGTGGCCGGCGTTGGCCATCATTTGGTACTSRTATCACATTTGCTRACYAACYTGGCACTGGCATGTCTACAAATTGGGCTTATGTACCGGCCGCTTTCTACGTATTCAATGAGGTCAACAACGGTACCGGTATGCTAGCGGCCGGGCTATTGYTAGCAATGGCCGTCAACGCGGTTACGTCGGGWCTGGTCATATCGGCTGCACTCTATGAAGAATATCATTGTATGATTGTCCTGGGGTTCCTGTGCGCCCCCCAATTGTTTACGTCGGGTATGTTTTGGCCMCTGGAATCSCTGGACCCCCTACTACAACTAGCCAACCGATTGAGCCCCCTGTGTGTCCCAGTGGAAACTATGCGCAATATTATATTGCGCGGTTGGCCACTGGCCAATCGGGCGGTTATGTTCGGGTTTGCCGTAACCCTGGCACCCAGTCTACTGTTTCTGGTACTGGCCTTGTTTATATTTAGATATAGACAATTTTAGGACCTAGGTTAATTTTAATTTATAATTTTTTTTTTTTGTTGCTATTTGTTTTTTTWTATATATAAAATTTATGATATAGTTATTGTGTATTTTTTTTGAATCAATTTTTTGAATTATTTAAAAATTTAATTAAATATTTTATTTTTTAATTATTATTATTATTATTATAAATATGTACTATAAGTATAATTTTTGTTTAAAAATTTTTTTTTGTTTTTGTTGTAAATATTTTAAACTGATTATTATTATTGATTTTAAACAATATATAATATATTATTTTCATTTATATCGTATGATAATTATATTAATGTAAAAATTAGTTTTAAAATTTTTTTTATTAACTATTTGTTATTGTTATTATTATTATTATTATTAGTAAATATAATTTTAATATTATTATTATATTTTGATTTTTTTAAATCAATTATATTATAGATTATTACACAATTAAAGTGTGATGATAATTAATTATTATATTAAAATAATATAAATAGAAAATTTAATAAGTATTTAAATATTTACAGTTTTTAAAAGTGGCAATAAGTTTGTAAATATAAAAATAAATAAATAAATAAAATTAAATGAAAGTTACTGTAAATTTATAATTAATCAATTTTTTTTTTATTAATATCTATTAATATAAAATTTAATTTTTTAAAAACTATATATGTTTTATATAAAGAAAATTTTCTATCTTATACTAGATATAATAGTTATTTATTTTTTAGTTTATTAATTAATTCAATAAGTATTTCAATTATTAATTTTTGATAAAAAGAGATTAGTTTATAATGTTATTTGAAATCAATTTTTTTATTTACTATAATAAATATTGATTTTATTATATTATATTTTATTATTAAAAAAAATATATATACATTATAATAAACTAAGTTTTAATTTATTATTGTATTTTATATATTTTAAAAAAAAAATCTGTAATTAGATTTAATGATTAATAATATTAAATTTTTTTTAACTACTACTAACTTATATTAAGTTTATAATTAATTTGTTAAAAAATATAAATTTAGTTTTATGTATATTATTACACTATTATTTATTTAATGAATTATATATATATATTAAGCAAACTATATTTATCTATAACTATTAAAGTCTAGACTTAATTGATCTTGATTAATTTATAATATATTTAAGCATTTAATCTAAACAATAACTATTTCATTATGTATTATAGATATAAAAATTATTTTATCATTAAATGAAATTCATTAGTTATTTTTTTTGTTAAGTAATAATAATAATAATAATAGAAAACAAATATAATACTGAAAAATATTTAATCTAAATATAAAATTTTATATAAAACTATATTTAATTTCAGTTAAAAGATATAAGTTTATCTATTAAATATAAAAAAATAATAATTTTTATAATTTTTCTTTATATAAATATAAGTAAATATAAGTAAATTTATATTTTTTTTAAAAAAAACTATTTAATATAATTGTCATAATTTTGTAGGTATAAGTGTATTTTAAAATATAAAAAAAATATTTAATAAAAATTATAATAATAAAAATAATAATGATTAAAATATTAACAGTTGTAATATCAATAATAACAATAATAATATTAATAATAATGTTTATAATTATTAGTAAACTAACAATCAATCAATCAATTAATTAATTAATAACAATAAAAATATTTTTTTTTAAAAATCAATAATAAATTATGATATGTATTTAAATTTATATATATAATAATAATAATAATAATAATAGTTTTACATAAAAGGTACTTATTTTTAAAATTAAAATTTTAAAAAATGTTATAAATTATAATATATATATTAATAACGATAAATATAGATTTATAAATTATAGAGCAATTAAAAGTTTACTGTTTTTAAAAAAAAAATTAAATTACAGTATTAAATGTAATTATCACTAATAAATAGATTAAGCAAATTTTTTTTTTTAAATAAAAAACTTTAAATTTCTAAAATTTAAATATTTACAATAAAATCAATTAATCACAAAATCATAGATTATACAATCAAGTTATATATCCATTATTTAAAAAAAAAATTACTTATTTTTCAATAATTAAAAAACATATTATTTATTTTTGAATACAATTTATTTCTCAAATAGTAAAATAATTCAAGTATATATTAATATTTTAATATTATTAATTTTTTTTAATTAAAAAAAAATATTTTAGTAGTTGTTTATTAAATAAACAAAAATTACAGTTGACTTATAACTGCTTTAATACCGGCCCATAGTTCGGTAGCCGAGGCACGTATATGACCGGGCGGTAACATAAAACCGTGACGACCCTTATCTCCTAATAATTATTAAAAATAAACAACAACAAAAAAAGTAAGTAAGTTAAAATTGTATATTTTTTAAAAAAAATAAAAAATAAAAATATTAGCTAGTTAAAATTTTTAATTTTTAAAAAAAAATTTTTTTTTACTTAGTTCCAATGCAAATGCTACTTTAATGCCGGCTGTATCGTAGGCCCAATCAATACTTGAGCCTGATGCTTTATCTAAAAAAATTTTATTTTTAAAATTTTTTTAAATTTAATTAATTAAAATATAAAACATAACATAATAAATTATTTTATTTTTTTCATATGGTATTATAGTATTATTTTTATTTTATTTAAATTAACATGTTTATTTTTATATATTAAACTAAAAATTACTTTAAAAAGTTGTCTACTTCATATTTTAGTTTGAAATATTAAAAAAATAAAACATAAACTTTAAATATTATTAAATTAATGTTTTTTATTAACTATAAATATACTGTATTTATGTATAATAAAAATAAAATAATTTTTTTTTAAAAAAAATATTGTTAATGTTTTAAAAGTGTTAATGTTTTTTTTTATAAATATAATAATTTTTATAATCTATAAAAAAATCAGCTAGTTGAAAATTGTTAATGTTTTAACTCATTTTTTCAATTCAAGGTTATATTATTTATTTATTTTTAGGTTCAATAGTATCTATTTTTTTAATAGCTATACTAATAATTTATTTTAATAATTTTTAATTATTATTAATATTTTTTAAAAAAAAACTATACATACATATTGTCCGGGCAATGGTTCCCTTATTGAATACCAGTCCACTAGTGGCTCGGATAGCATCTACGGCACGGGTAGACAGTCTTTCCTAAATATATAAATAAATATTTTTATAAACAATTTGATTTCTATTAAAATATAAAAAATAATTTGATTTCTATTTAAAAACTAAGAAATAATTTATAATTTCTATTAAAACTAAAACTAATTTAATTTCTATTTAAAAAATAAGAAATAATTTAATTACTATTAAATAATTAGAAACATAGCATTTATATCTAATTATAAGTTTAACCCCCCCCCCTATCCTACCCCTGATTACCCCTCCCCACCTCAATTAACAACTTACCAGTTGGGCATAGTTGGCCGGCGGTACCATAGTATAGCCGTACGGATACATCCATAGCTGACTGAACGAGTGGACAGCAAAATAGGCCGCAATTCGGCCTTTTTTGGACATTACCAGATTGGCCAGTGCCTGGGTCTCCAGTTCGCTGAACGGTTTCGGTCCCGGATAGGACTCGCCACTCGGGTCTCGCTGGACACCCGACTGGCCGAAATGCGAGTCAAAACTAGAATTATGACAAAAATAAGGTGTATTTTTATTTGTTGGTTGAAAGGAACGGTAGTTCCGTTTAATAGCTTACTTTCGGTTAGGATCGGCACCCATATGGCCGCCCTGTTGTGGCGATCGTGTYTTACGCCACATCCKATTGACTGAATGACTGTAGACATACCCATCGGGATTRAGTGTCGGTATAATTATGAATTCAAATCTACGTAGGAGTTCCTCATTAGTCGWATCGGTTAACAGATTGTTTGCTATCCATAAGCACGAAGCCGGCGATATCTATACATACAGTGTATGTGTGTGTATGTGTGTGTATGTGTGTGTATGTGTGTGTATGTGTGTGTATGTGTGTGTRTGTGTGTGTGTGTGTGTGTGTGTGTKTGTGTGTGTGTGTGTGTGTGTGTGTGTGTGTGTGTGTATGTGTGTGTGTATGTGTGTGTATGTGTGTGTATGTGTGTTTATGTGTATGTATGTGTGTGTATATGTATATATATATAGACAGTTAGATTAGGTTTAGTTAGTTTAGTGACACCCTATTCATCATAACTAGACCTACCCATTCACGGGCGTGAATACCGCACTCAAGTAWGACTATCTTTTTGGTACCGGTGCTGCTAATATTATCAGCTATGGTTATGGATGGTATAGGCCGACCCTCGTAGGACTTTCCAATAGTATTATAGACAGCCCTGGAGTCTATAGATAAAACACAATATGTTAATAATGTTAAGGGAAGTCATAATTATTTTATTTTGATGGCCAGTCAGTCAAATAACATACTGTTTCGGCCAACTTTGGACAGTTCACCGACAATATCGTCGTACGAATGATAGGTTGATTGATAATCAAACAATTGGCGAAAACGGCGYCGGTTTCGATCATTTTCCTCCCGTTCCCCGTCTATGAGGGTCTGRAAATTTTCGGCCGTTATTTCGTAGCCGATCTGCGATTGATTGAGTGCCTGAAGAAAATCCAGGTTTTTCTGGTCGTCACCCGCGATAAGTGTCATAACTGGCCGCATGTCGGGGAACGGYGGGTTCCAGTAGTCCATCTAATAATAATAATAATAATATATATTTTTCGGATAATTTGTTAATTAAAAAAATATAATTATAATAATATTTTAATTTTTACGATAATTTGATAATTAAAAAAATAAAATAATAATTATAATAATATATTATATTTTTCGGATAATTTGTTAATTAAAAAAAATTAAAATAATAATAATATTATGATTAATATTATTATTATTAATAACCAAAAAAACTAATTATTATTTAGTTTATAATTAAAATTTATAAACATTAACATAAATATTAAATACATTTAATTGTATTGTTTTTTTTGTAAATAATTATTTTTTATTTTTTTTTATTAAATTAATAATTTAGTTATATTTTATTTTATTTACTGTATTTAAATCTATCAATTATTTGATAAATTTTTGTTGTTAATTATTTACATTTAGTTTAATACTATTTATATTTGATTTGATTTGATTACTATTTATACTATTTATTTACTACTAATTATATTTGATAATAAAGTTTATAATTATTAATAGTATTTATTAGTATTAATAATTAATTATCAAAAAAATTATAATATCAATAAATYTATATATAAAAAATAATATGATATTAAAAATCATTTCTARTATAATTAATTTACAAATTATATATATATATAAGTATACAATAATAATAATAATAATTTTATTTACTATACCATGAAATCGGTGCCCAATTTTTTAATGTCAGCTAAATTTTTCAGATTTTTCGGTAAAATTTTAATCAATTTATGTTTACTATAATTAATGGGTACAACACYAYYACCATCATCTGATTTAACATTATTTTGATTATCAATTGTTTCACAATTAATAAAATTTATTACTAATAGATATGTTAATATAACTATTAATTGTTTTGATATATTAAACATTATTGTATTATATATATATAGATATAATTTTTTTAATAYACTAAATACTTATATATATAATTAATATATTAATATGTTTAGTGAAATGTTAATACTATACTATAAACTATTGATCAAATTTTTCAAAATATATATATATTATAAAATATAATGTACTAAATATCAATTATGATTAAAAATCATATATATATATATATATATATATATATATATTATATATAKATAKATATATAATATATATACAGTATTACTGTTTAGTGCACATGTATTTTGAAACATATTTTTTGTCAATTGATGTCTGGCTATAATAATAATAATWATTATTATTTAAMAAATATTTCAAACATCATGTTTTATTTAGATATTTTATTATTATTTTTATTATATTTATTTTTATAGGGGGGGGAAATAACAAAAAATTAGACTACAAAACAACAAAAATTTTAAATAATTAAATATTAATAGTTTATATTAGTTTTATTGTTATCATATATATATATATATAATATATATATTGATATATTTATTACTGTTTATATATATATATATAATTAAGGACAAACACATCAAACATATGTTACATCCAAACAGTAGTTATTAATTTTTTTTTATTATTTTAGTTATATATGATATTATATAATAATCACGTTTCCTATTGTTTGAATTTTTWAAAAAAAATTTTATATACAATAATATATAAATATAATAATTATTGTAATATCACTAATTAATTTGTAAAAATTAGTACAACAAATAATATATATATATATATATACCTCWTATATAWATAATAAAAATAAAATTGTTTTATATATATATATAAATATAAATATATTTAATTTATTAATTAGTAGTACAAATAACAAATAAAATAATGTATTATTTGTTTGTTTGTAAATCAATATTAATAGTTACGTCAATTATTTTTGTTGTTATTAATTATATGTAATATTTTTTTTATAAATTATTTTATACAATAGGCGATAAATATGCAAAAAAAATAAAAATTTTAAAAATAAATCAATAATAAATTAGTAATTAACAATTTTTAAAAAATGTTAATAATTTAATTTAATAAATAAAAAATTATTAACAGTAACTAAATTAAAACTTTTAATWATTATTATTTTAATTATAAATATTACTCTATTTTATTTTCATGAAAAATAACAAAAATAATCATTTATCAAATTAAAGTAACAAAAAAATTGTTTTTATTAGTAAATAAATAATTTTTTTAAAAAAAACATTATAAATTATAATTGCATAATATTGTAATTTATTACTATTATWATAATAATAATAAAAAACAAAACTAACTGGGTGTTTATAATCCAAATATATTATATACAGTATATGTATATGTATATTATACATTATATAGATATAATATAATACTAATAAAACCTTTATTATTATTATTATTATTATTATGAAACTATTAGTTATAATACCTGTTATAAAACTTACAGTATTTACAGCTAATTTTACAATTAACTTAAATGTCGATAAAAAAATGATATATATGATTGATGATTGMAAACTATGTTTGATAAWAAAATATTAGATATATCAAAAATATAATATTTTTATTTATTATTTTTGACATTATGTTAACATTGAAACTAAAAATATTAATATATTTTTTTAGAAATAATCTAAAATATTAACAAATTTATTCAATATATTATTATGTTTTTATTGTAATAAATATTAATAAAATATATATATACTGTATATAAAAATTTTTATTGTTATAAATAAAAGTTAATTTAAAAAGTTATATTTAATGTAAGTATTAATATTATTATTATTATTAAAATTAAATTAATATTATTGTTAATTATTAATTAGTATTTTAAGTTTTTTAAAGCAATTTTTTTTAAATATTGATATATTTGTTTTTTTTGTTGTAATTTATATGTGTTTTTATTTTATACATAAGTTAATTAAATATAATAATAATAATAAATAATTTATTATTAGAATTCAATTCAAATTTTGTTGAATAAATGTTTATCTAATAGATTATATAATAATGTATTTTTAAAACTGAAACTGTAATAAATATATATTATTTTATTTTTTTTTGTTATATTTTTATTGTTTGAACTAAATTTGAGTTGAAATATATTGATTATTATTATAATATGATAATACATATATTATGATAATTTATATTAGATTATTGTATTTTTTAATAATAATAATATTATTAGTATTATTAATAGATATATATTATAATATCTCCTTAAATATAAATAGCTTTAAATATATATATATATTATCGTAAAAAAATTAATTAATTAGTTTTTATTTAACAACAACAACAACAATCATATTAAAAATAAATAAAATAAAAATTATTTTATCAAATATTATTATACTTATAAAATACAATTAAATATTTATAACWYTAAGTGCARAATTATAATTATGATTTTTATATTTAAAAACTTTTTTTTTAATTTTTTTTAATCTACATATTTTTTTGATTGATTTTTTTGTTGCTATTGTTAGAAAAATATATGTAAATTTTAATTATTTCAGTGACTATTTARTATATATATATATATAACAATTGAATAAAATCTAAAAATTATTCAATAAATTATAATTTATTATTATTTTTTTGTTGTATTATCAATTATTTTAATAATACAATGGTATATAAATTTATATATACAGTATATAATATATTTTTATGATTATTTTAATGTTAGTTTCAAAATYATATTTAATSAGTTAATAAACTTTATTTATTATACATTGAACACAAAATTATTAATAATAATAATAATAATATCTAACGGAAACTATAATAATTTATTATTATTATTATTATTATTATTATTATTTTCTATTAATACTATACTATTAATACAACAAAAAATTATARATATAAAWATATTTTTTTATGTTAATACATAGATATATATATATAATATTAATATAAAAAATATATATACTTTTTGTCTAACTTTTTATTGATTAAMTTTATATCAGTTATACAATTATAATATCAAAATAATTTTCAGTTATTAGTTTGTATTAAAAAATTAATAATAATATTTGTAAWCAATATATATATATATATACCAWTTTTTTATACTAAATATTTTTAATTAWTTTTTTATTTTTTCTAATAATAATAATAATAATGGACTTCAAGAATCTAACAATGAATAAACAATGTATACAATGGTTGCTAACAWACAATAATACCAATGRAWWTSATAATAATTTTAATATCAATAATAMTAATAATAATACTAATAATTGTAATCTAAGATATTCAGTATTTATAACCCAGGTAATTATATAATTAATTTTTTTTACAAAAAATAATAATATTTAAATTATAATAAAAATTATTAAATATATATATATATATATATATATATATTTGTTTAATAGAGTCATCATTTAAAAGACAATGTCTATGAAATATGCAATGAATTTGCATTAGTTATTGAAGTGTTCAGGGATTACCTAAATTGCAGGTATTTATTATTATTATTATTTTTAATTAAATAAATAAAWTTTTTTTAGTAAAATATATATTTAAAAATATACTAAACTTTAAGTATATATATATAGACTAAAAATAATAATACATTTTAGAGCTATTYTAAACTAACMTAAAAAATATATAGTAATATAATTTRTTGATTACTACTAAAAATTATATTTACAAAATATTAATAGATTTTATTTAATATTATTTATTTATTAATTATTTTTKTGTATATTGTTAGYCATTAATTAGTATTATWGTAAATAAWWTTTGTTTACTTAAACAAATAAAATTTTTAGTAAAATATATWTWTTTTTAAAAAAAACACTAAACATTAAATAAATATAATTTTTACAAATATATAGTATTATAATCTATTGCTTACTACTACTACTACTACTACTACTAAAAATTATATTTASRAAATATTAATAGTTTTGAATTTATATTATTAATTAATTAWTTTTTTTGTGTGTATATTGTTAGACATTTAGTTAACTATTTAAATTAATTTTTTAATATTATTATYATCATCATAGACTTATTTTTATAAAACCTAACCTGGAGATTGGTGGCGAT